TGATGCCTTAAGGATTACACGAATTAGAGATTTATGTCTTGAAATGATGCTGCTTTTGTTTGGCACATTCAGAGTGAAGTTGATGATTTTGGGTTGATTCTAACCAATGGAGGGGAAAATATATGGTGTAGTTGGTGAAGTGTTGATTGTCTTCCTTTTTGATGTGCATTCTTTGTATTTTGTATTCTTTCTAAACTAGAGATTTCAGAATCATTATTTTTGGTGTGGGAGGTTAGCATTCTGTTTAAAAGCCCACAAAAAGAAAATAAACACATATACGTGCCTGCAATTATCAGAATGTTGTGTATTTATGCTCTGCCATTGCCTTGTTTTCTTCTTTTTGAAATGTGGTGTCAATCCATTGACTGAAGCCTGATCTTTTACACCTTGGAAACCTTCTTTTTTTTTTTTTTCTTTTTTCTTTTTTGTTTCTCAATTTTGTTTTGGATTAAGATACTAATGGCAGTTTTTGTTGCATTCTGTTTCTTTTACTGTGCTGTAGGTCAGAGCAGTATGTGAGAAGACTAAGGAGATATTGATGGAAGAAAGCAATGTTCAGGTGTGCCATAACATCCCATTTAATCCTTGCTCAGCCCCACCTTTGTGCTTGCTAAATTCTTTAGCCTTTCTGACGTCATTTAATGGCCTATGGGACTGGATCTTTCAAACAATTTGATGTTCTACTTGAATTTCACTTGCAATGGGTGTTTTGCAATGGTCAACATGTGTTCATTACTTACAAAGTACTATGTAAACATTGAAATGTTTTGTTCTTAAAAAAGTGGTAAAATATTGATGTTTTATTATGTTTCCTATATCACAGCCTGTGAAAAGCCCTGTGACAATATGCGGCGATATTCATGGCCAGTTTCATGATCTTGCTGAACTTTTTCAAATTGGAGGGAAGGTATCAGTCCTGACTATGACCTTTTATTCACTTCTTCTGTTTCAGCTGAGGGCATTTCCAAAATAATTAATTGAGATCTGAATGCTTTTGAAGATTGGTTGGAGCTCTACTGAAGT